TTCCTGAAAACTATCAAGGAAGGCCACAGTTGCTTGAGACTTTTACACCCTCTTACGTATTAAGCAAGACGAAAACGATGCCATCCGAAATCGGATTACCGAATTTTGACAAGCGACGCATTTCTCAACCAGAAACCGAATAAACAAACCAGCCATAAATAACAGAAGACTCTTGATAGGACCTGTATTTCATTTTGTACATCTAGTGGAAAAAGACAGTTAAAAACATCACTGGCAAGTTGACACAAAACTCTGTAAGCTTCAGCGCAAGCTGTCAAAGTAAACAACTTTCAAGATGCTGCATAAATTTTCCGCATGAACTCACCTGTCAAATTTTGACCAATCAGAGTATAAAAATTGGACGCAGAGCGTGACCAACGCGTGTCCATGGTAAGAAAAGGTCTTCCCGCCTGTATTTTTAAAAAACTGGCTAAATTTTCGCGTCCGAGGTCAGTTTGAAATCAAAATCTTAATAGTGCGGGGTCATAGTGACATAAACACAACATATTTCATATGAATCATTGGAAAAAATAAACTTGAGCCTGCGATCATTTGAAACTAGTAATTTGTCAACGGATAACTTCAAAAAAATACTCGACCTCGATGGGTCGACACTTGAGCCCGCGGTACGGTCAGGTGATACTGGTCAGCCGATACCCTGTTTTGACAGCTGTCAATTGATCACAACATTGATGTGCAATTAGTTTTCTCCTGGGCTCCCAAACTGGCTAGAAAGTGTAGAAGTAAACATTGGTTTCCCTGTGGTGCGGACGGACGGTCGTTCGTTCGTTCGTTCGGTGTACGGTCACGTGATTACCAAATTTTCTGGGATGGGTAGATTACCTTAGCTATGGGGCTCCGCCCACACGCACGCGGAGCTCCGCTATAAACGACTTTCGTTTTATTCTCATCCAAACGGCCCAGAATTGAACCCTTTACCAGACGAAACTCTTTGTACATAGCCTTCGGCTCCCCCTTTAGGTCGATGTGTCGTCTGTCGATCTACTAGCCTGTTCCAGGCTCTCAGATGCTGGGAAAGGCGCAAAAGAGTGGGAAAGACGAGAAAGAGAAAGGCGCGCGTCGCCCCTCCTCGTCCCAGTTTTCTCCCTTGTTTGTGTTTTTGCGCTTTCTCAATTTCCGCGGGTCTACAGCTTATGCCCACCGCATTTTCATAGTAATTGGGCCGCTTTTCCTAAATATTCGTCTTCATTCGATTTGAACAATAGAAAAAAAGAAGACAGAGAAGAAGAGAAGTCGTCATCGACGGTAGGTGTATTTGTCATTCTTGACAATGTTTCCAGCTTGCCTTCATGGTCACTCTGAAAAGCGACGTGTAGTGCACAATCAGAAAAGTTCAGTACAAACGTATTGTTCTTTTAATCAGCTTATTAGTAATCATTTGAAAGATTTTATACTCGATGATATTGAAACAACCAGTTTCTTACCGTCTTGTCTTTATTATGATTCTCTTCAGATCGCGATCACCGAAAAGGCGTCATCGAGATTCGATTGCGAGCAGTCTAGTCTCTTCCTTTTCCTTTAAGACACTTAATAACGCGAGCACGCGCGAGGGGCGAGCGCCGAACCCGCGAGAAACGAGGGAGAGCAACAATCTCTCCCCTTTTTTGCACCTTTAAGCTCACCGCGCTTGGCTGTCAGGAAAAATGGACAACCGTTCACGGTCAACATCATGTAAACTAAATTCGTATACCACTCGCGTCATAAATACCATACTCTATTGTGAATCGTGTTCGCTTTGAGATCACCACCAACGAAACTCAGGTTTGAAATCGTTCAAGCCTCCCCAAGAACAAGCTGACAGAATCGAAGGCGTAAGGTGGGCTGTAGCCACGCCTGTAGTATTATGCTCGTACCATAAATGTTGATTTTACAACTTTACAACTCGTCAGAGTTTCCTGCCACTTACTTTGGCCATTTTTGAATGAAGCCTTAATTCCGTTTTTTTTTTTTTGCGGAAAGATTGTCGACCGAATCTAAATGAATTTCAACAGTCGAAACTTCATTACGCTTAAAAAATATCAGCAGGAGCCTACCGTCAATATACGCACATACACCCGTGCGTACAAGTACAGCTAAAATATGGAAAAATGATACACTTTTTATTTTCTTTTTGCATCAATTAATCGGGATGACTTTCTTTCTGTCTTCCTTTTATCTTTTATTATTCCATAATTCTGATGGCGTCACTGGCCTTTTTTCCCCCTTAAACATGCACTCGGGTACAATGTATATCCAGCATCACCTTTCAGCGATTGCGACCACCTTTTTTGGATGACGACTTTGCAATTTTCCATTGCCGGTTTTTACCCTCCTGTAGACGACAACTTAAAAAATGGCTTCATCTCTATGTTCGTTTTATTTACTGCACAGCAAGCAATTAAACTCAATGTTCTTAATTGAATAATTAATTTCAATAATTAATTCAATAATTTTTATTTCAAAATGTAGATGCATACGAAACCACTGTGGCTCAATTGTCGTTGGCAGACAACTTTCGTCGATAGCGACCTTTTATTTCTGGGGTCGTCGCCGGTGAAGGATCGACAGTATAATTATTATTATTATTATTATTTTTTTAACAGATTGAAATGACATTTTCTGGTGTAAAATTTACGTTGTTGTTGTTGTTGTTGTTGTTTTGTTTTGTTTTTCTCTTTTTAATTCCAGGAAGACGACAACTACCTAAGGTACGAAAGTTTCCCGGTGTTGTGTCGAGATGCCGCCTCCATCCCTCACCGCCAACCAAGAAGTATGTTTGCAAACAGACTTTTGACTGTTGCCGTGAATGTAACCACGCCCTCTACACGAGCATTAGCATGACCGGGTAGTACCCTTAGGGAAGGTACGTCTTTTATTTGGGGTGGTGGGCCGGGGTATTTTAGATTTTTATTGCGAAAAAGGTCGTGGCCCTCCCACTTCCTGGAATGGATTAATGCTTGACCCATCATTAATACCCAAACAAAAACATCTGACCCTCCCCCCCTACCTATCTAAGACAAAAATAACCGGAAGTAAAAATAACAAACTGGAGGTGTTGTTACTCATATAACCGCCTTCATCTGCGCACAAAGTAGTTAACTGCCTGGCGCGTGATTGTACGGTGAAAACTTGAAAATGGACAAGGATGTACGAGGAATAGAAAGAGGGAAATGTGCTTGTGGTGAATGCGAGGATTTCATGAGGTCAGATGGTGCAACTTGTGGTTATTGTGGCTGTTTGCCGACTCGCCATTCTAAAAAGGATTCCCGCTACTCCTCTGACTCTGTTGGTGGCACATCGGTTGCGGGAACAAGTGAAAGTGCAACTCCAGAGAAATGGAAAGATGAAGACCTAGGGTGGTTCCCGAAGTTGTCGGTTCAAGCCCGAGTAGCTTAAGTCAAGAATCCTCACCGGAAACTGATTTTACACCAGAACCCCGCGCGGAAAATCAAAATACGGGCGAAAGCGACACGGGTCGAGAGAGGCAATTATGTTAGTTGGGAGAATACAGTTTTATGATATATATTTTTTTCGACACCTGTAACTAATTTAGACTAATCTTGACTGGTAGCTTTGCTTGTATATACAAAATAGAAGCGACATGGAGTAATTTTTCCTTGCCAAAAAACCTGTGACCCTCCACGTGTAGAAAATAAAACAGGTTTGACCCTTCCCAATTTGTAAAAAAATTACTAAGGACCCTCCCCCCCGAAACCCCCCCCAAACCCCCCCCCCCCCCCAAAAAAAACAACCCCCCCCCCCCCCCCCTCCCTTTTCCGCCCTTTCCCCCCAAAAAAAAAAATATTATAACACCCACACACCACCCACCCCCACCCCCCCCCACAAAACCACCCCCCCCAACCTAAAAAAAAACACTACACAACAACACACAAAGACAAAAAACAACTTACCTTGTTATTTTTTACCCCCCCCCCCCCCCCCCCCCCCCCCCAATAAAAAACGTACCTTCCCTTATCGTGCCTGTATTGTGCGACTGTACCGACCAAAAAATCGTATTCGGAACTACCCTACAAGCTTCCAACACTACCCCCTACTAATAAACCCACCGCGAAACCTTAATAATCAAGGCTACAACCAGGCTCAATGTGAATGCAATCATTTGAGCTTTAGTTTCTTCGCGTACATTATAATTTCAAACAACTGCCCCTATACGAGAGCAGTTGTCCTGAATGTTGACAGGAACTTTTAATTTCACTAGGTTTGTTCTTGAAATATATTTTTTTAATAATATGAGCCGCTTCTTTCTTTCTTTTCTTTTTCTTTTAATATACCACAAGACACTTTTTTTTAAGTAGAATGCTACTCAGGCTAACTTTTCAGTTCCTCTTGAAGCACTACGAGCCTTAACATAAATTCTTTCAGTTCGTTTAAGCTTAACCTGCATGGGTACTGATCACATTCGCTGTCCCGCTGAAACTAATTCCTTACCCTGCTGCGAGCAGAGGCTACATTTTCGCTGTGTGAGCTGGCGTGCGAAAAGTAGCCTCTGCCGACAACCGTTCAAATCCGTCCAGAAATCTGCACGAATAAATTTAAAAACCGGGTTTTTCCTGTTCTTGACCAGTTTAGAGCATTGCGTGAGTTTTGCGTAGCAGATCAGAGTTAACGCAATTTTGTTATTCCCGCGAAACTCGCGCCATTTGACGACAGACCTGACGACAGGAGCCTGCTGACGATTAATTTTGCTTGCGAATCGCGTGATGAATTTCGCGCATGCACGATAGAAAATTGAACGGTTGTCGGCAGAGGCTACTTTTCGCACGCCAGCTCACACAGCGAAAATGTAGCCTCTGCTCACAGGGTACTAATTCCTACGTGATACTAAAAACTGCAGTTTGGACCTCTAAACGAAATGGCGTAATGTCCGAAAATAAACCATAGAATTTGTGGCTTTACCCCTTATGTCGGCCCAAGGAGTTGTCTAGCTAAATATCGGCCCATGAAATACAAACATTTTACTTTTGGCGTTTTATATTAGGTGTTTTGTTCTCCTCTTCGTCGTCTTGGGGGCAGCTAGTTTGCGGCCATGTATTTTTTTCCCATTTGAATCCCTCGACTCGCATCATGGTGTTAAGAAACTTTGGGATCAGAATTTCACCAAGTCGAGTTAGGTTATATCAGACTGTGTGTGTATGATAGTCCATTTCTTTCTACTTGGTGGGAACAGCATCGCAAGCAAAAGCCCATGAACGAACATCGACCTCCGAAGCTTAAGACAACTCGAGGAAAATACTGAAGACAAGACAGAAGCTGGCGTGTAAGATCCTCCGTGACGCTGTTGTACATTGCGATTGTACTTCTCTCGCCAATGGTCTTCCGGTAATTGTGATTTGTAATGACAACCCGTTCGAATTCGGACTTTTCGCTTGCCATGCGCAGCGTCGAAAGACGGTTGAAACTCAGGTCGTAAATTTTGTTTCAAACTTCCAACAATGTCTGCGTAAATTTGGTTCTCCGATTTTTGAAGCACAACCATGTTAGTATTGAGCCAATCTTTTCATTAAAAAAGCGATGTGGTACAAACAGTAGCATAGGAACAGATGTAAACTAAAACTTTCAAAACTTACAGTTACCATAGGGACTCAGTTTCATGACGAATTGACGTGACGACACTTTCAAACACTTGGAACTCTTGGCGCCCGCAGTGCAACGAGTGACCGCAGAAAGAAGAGACTGGCAAAACGTTTGTTTATGAGAAACGTGTCAGGGCTGTTACTTGCGTGTTTTTCTTCTCTTTTTTTTTCTAAGGTGAAATATAGAAGGCGGAAGTTTTTTTAAACCTAATTATGGCTCAGTCAATTTCAAGTGTGCCCCGGCTCCCGGGGGCATTTTTCGGGCTGAAAGGCTGATTAGTGTTAATCCAGGATTAAAATTTTGTTCTGTTTCTGTACTTGACATTCCTATGCATTACTTAGGGTAACATTTTGTGTTATCATTACTCTATCTCGTAGTAAAGGCTCAACAGTATTTCGTAACCTCGAGTTGCATGTTCTTAGACGTGAAAACCGTTCTTCAAATTTTGCTTCATCCTGGGTGAAACTAAACTATCTTTCGAGGAACCAGGCCCTGATATATTTGTTTCATTCATATATGAGAGACTTGGTGCTAGGCTATTAAATATTTCATAGCGCGTGTCCAATTTAAATCTACTTTGGAGCGTAAAGTAAAAACAAGGGCTTTAATAGGCATTTTTTCAGGTACGTAAGTGGATAAACAATTAGCCTGCGCGTAGACACTTTAAACCTTAATACGGACTATATTCACACTATATTCGACACGTGGGCCGGCTGCACCGCAGGCTTATAAACAATACATTTAAGTCAAATTCTGTGCGATACCATATGCATCATCGAAAAAATCTTTCCTTTTCGTCTACTTTTGGGCTGCGCGCGGATTTTGTCAAGGAGTCTTAAATAGCCGTATTTGTCAGCATTGTGACGTCAAAACGAGCACGGTGACCCCCACATTTTATTACTTTTTTTTATCATCTTCTTGACTTGTTACATCAGTGTACCAAGTTTCATCTACAATCTATGTTAACTTCTTTCACCAAGGAATCACCTTGACTTCCATTCAGGGGACACCTTAGCTCTGCAAAAGTGACTGACCACTAAAACTGTTGCTTAGTTCAAGTGTACACTGGTCAAAGTGCCAACAGGTTTCAAAACATGAACTATATCACTTAAATTGATGTACTGCATGCACTTGTGGGAACTCAACACACAATATTAATATGATTTTTTTGCCCCCTCAGGGATTTCGCCCAGAGGGCGAAATCCCGAGGAGGCACTCTGGTAACCCGCGTGTATATTAAGGAAAGTACTTACAGTTGAAATATACAGTCATACAGTCAATATAGAAAAAATCTCGATTTGCTTGAACAGGGGCCGCGAGGAATTGGTAGGTAATGATGACGTTTCTATTGTTTGCGCCCGCAGGTACGAATTGGTTAGGATGACGTAAA